GCTCAACACATGGAGGGCTCTCCACTAGGTTTACCAAGAAACAAAATACCTTTCTTGGGTGGGAAGTGGAGCTTGAACTGGCATCTAGTAGGGTGGGGGTGGGGACTTCCCTGGGGAATAGGGGACATCTAAACTCCCATCCAAGCATACTGCCCTAGTTACAGTGGGCATTTGAGGGCAGGGGATGCGGTGGCTTCTTATGCTTCCAGGGACTCCAGATGGTTTCCAAGTAACAATGTCTAAAATTGACTTGGATTCGTTTTTTCCTTTCCAAACACATGTGCTTTAACATGAGGGGGAATTTATGAATAGCAGAGGCAGATTAGCCCAGATTTCTGGCATGGTATTGCCACAAATATAGCCTCACGTGGACTCACTTTGGTATGTTGGATGCTGAGATAGTGTTTTCCTGGTACTCATTGGTTAGCGAATAACAGTCAAGGTGACCAGTCTTTAATGTCTTGGCTTCCCTAGGTCAGTACAAATCATTCACATATCACACCAACCAAGTGATTGGGAGGTTCCTGATTCTAGACATGGGTTGCTGTTTTCTCTTGCTCATGGGATTTCTGTTCATTGCCAGAATGTAAGTGTTCATAGGGTGTTTATACTTTTTCCCTGGTCTCCCTGAAACATGGCTCTTGATTTTTGAGCCAGGGTATACTACCTTTACTCATGTCCATGGAGGAAATGAAAAAGGGTGAGGGGAAATTAGGTTTTAGATAAAGTGGTCTGTCTTACTGATGGCACCTTCTTAGAAGTACAGGTAGCTGGTCATTCGGAGGTGTTTACTACTTGTTTTTTTGTGGGACTCCGCTGAATGAATTCTGTCTTTCTCCAATGGCGCCTGTTATGTATGTCATGGCCCAGGTAAAGTGACAACCAGCCTGGATCCATTTTGATGAAATTTAGAGTAAACCTGTAAAGCAAGTGTCAGTTCATGCACCCTGTTGCTTGAAAACTTCCAATGGAATCTCATTCCATTTGTCGTTCCCAGTCTCTACGGTGGCCCTACAGGACCATACCTGATTTGCCCCCCCCCCTTGTCTTACCATGCTCATTCTGTCCCACCCTCTTCTCATCTCTGAACTCCAGCTACATGGCATTCCTTGCTCCATACGCTGAGCCCATTTTCATGTCAATGCTTTTATTCTTGCTGCCTTCCTTTTTTCCCTGCATGGCGAATGATGTGCCCCTCCTAGATGCCTTTTCTCCATTGGTCCATGAGGATGAGTGAAGGGAGCAGCATTTCCTTTATTCTATTGAGAGGGCTGTGAGTCATGATCCTATGTGCATGGGAGTAAAAGGGCCAGAATTCACTTCTTAATTTCCTCAGTCAGTCGAAGAAGCCTTTAGGATTGGAAGTTGGGACTCTAGGTGTGGAATTTTAAAGCACTTTGTAGAGTTGCTTTGGCGCATCACTTGACTCTCATCCTTGTGTGTTTTGGAAGTGGTGACTTCTCCCTCTCTCTATGAGAAGACTAGGAGGTGAACTTCAGAGTGGACTTTCCTTGTGGCTTTTTACTTAGATCACCTTTGATCAGTTGAAGGTTCCAGAGGAGTTATTCTGAACTGAAAACTGCTAGGGATTGGCCCAAGTCACTGGAACAAGAGAGAGTTGCCCTATTTAAATGTAGTCTGTTGAGTTACTCCTGCTTTCCCCTTAATGCACAGGTCCAAGAGTAGAGAGGACTTCAGGGATGAAAAAAGTTAATAAAACTCATTGGATTTAACTGCAAAAAGTTTCTTCTTCTCCTTCATCTACTTCTGCAGTCTTTGTACATGTTCCTTCTTGGTTTGAACTTTCACCTCTGTCCCTCTACTTCAGTCCATCCTTTGGGAAGGACTTCTTGGCCACCGTCTGCCTAATGGTTAAGAGCTTAGGCTTTGGCGTGGGACATACTTGGTTTGCTGCTTGCTAATCTTAAGYTTACCTCATATTAGTTTCCTTTTCTGCAAAATGAGACTAATAAGGATTGCACTGTGGCAATTGTGATAATGATGGTGAGGTTACCTCCGAAATGTGCCACACAGAGTATTTAGCACCAGGAAGCTAGAAGTATCTTTGGGCACGTGTTCTAACTATTGGATTATGTGCACTATGGCCTGCGCATATCCATTCACTCAATAAATATTTATTGAGTGCCTACCGTGTGCCAGCCACTGCTCTGGTTCAGGGAATATTGCAGTGCAGAACAAACAAAATCCCTGCTCTCAGAATCTGCATCCTGTTTATAATAGTTCAATTATGTCCTAATTTTTACCATTTTTCATTCATCTTCCTCATTAGACATTAAACTTCATAATGTGGCTCTTTCGTTAACTTATTTTTCAGTTGCCAATGAATTTCAGAGAAACTACTATGCACCAAGTATCAGGACAGTGTCCCTACCCCTAATCTTTTGATGAGGTTCATTGTTCGTTTCCTCTTCTGCTTGTCCATTCAATCTTCTGAAGACATTAGTCTTTTAAATAGAAAGAGCTTCTTAGAACTGATTCCAACAGCCCCTGCAAATTGATGGCTTCAAATGGTTTGTGTGCTCTCATATGAAAATGGGAGATGTTCAAGGTGTCAGAGAGCAGGCAAGTAGGTATGGGAGGGAGCAAGACTGGTGGATTGGGTTGGATTACGTGGTTTCAGAGGCTGTAGGTGGGGTGTGGAAGATGAAGTTCTGTCTCCAGAGCCCTGTTTTCTGTTCCTAGACTGCTTGGTGTGCAAGAGGGACCTGAACAGGCCTTTGGTGACAACCTTGCCAAACATCACTGCTGCTGTGTGCCGCTTTCACAATTTAGCTGCAGTGATCCGGGCATCAGCCAGTGGTCCAGAGCTGGATGCTGAGGTTGCAGCAGACTCTAGGAGCTCTGGCACTGCAGGCATTTCTGCTGAGGCCCAGAGATGACAGTGAGGATCTTTTCCTTGAAGGTTTCCTTGAGCCACTTCTCTGCTCTTCAACAGGCCCTTCAACATGGGCCTGAAAAGCCATGACCCAATCAATAGGACATCAAGGAGAAGTCAGAACCCAGTCCAGATTAGTCATCGGGCCTCTTTGTTCTCTTCTTGCTATTTCCCTGCCTGTGATTTCAGACCAACACAGTCCCAGCTCTAGGCTTCCTGCAGGTCTGTCCAGACCCCAAATCTGTCCTCCAAAGTTCTGCATTAGAGTTTTGGAGGCACAGGCCTTATCCCCTGCTGGGGTGTATCCATATGAGATAACGGAATGTACCAAACCCCTGATAACCCGGCTAGCTGATCTGGAGAGAATAGTCTTTGCTTGTCTTCTGAGCTCCTAACTGTGCAGGTCTGATGGGCGTTCCATGTTCTGCTAGACTGTTCTTAGCAGTCGGCATGAGGCTGCCTGGATTTCTTGTGGAGTTCTTCTCAGACCTGCAAGTCAGTGTGGGGAACCTATTCTCTTAAAGAGCAATTAATCATTTCTCCTCCCTTTTTGCCTCCATCAAAGGAATTCATCAACATCTGTTTGTATTTCTTTATGATGGGTGATAATGACCAATTTTTTTTCCCCTCTCTAGAAAAAGTAAATCAGTAACTGGGTGACTAAAACAGTAATTCATGGTAGTTCATTTTAGAGGGGATTAGTAAGCATCCCTTTTATTGTAGTCAAAAGCAAATGACTTTAAGTGTTGTCAGGACAGTAAGTAATAAAATTATGATTCACCTCTGTTTTGAGGTACCTATTAGTCGGGGAGATGATTAAGGGTAGAGGTGGGAGGGTTGGGACTCCCCCTTGGGCACAGGAACCTGGGACCCCGCTGCCTTAGGGTGGCTTGCTGCTGTCTAGCAATTTAAAATTCTCCTTTCTGTCCAGGAAGCAGATGTTTTTTGGTTTCATTTTCCAACTTTAG